GGGGGGGGGGGGGCTAATTGAGTTTAGGTTTATCACCCTAACTATCAATTTATCAGTCATCAGAATGCGAGATGATAATATTGATAGTTGTCAATAACTAATATTATCACTGAATATACGATTGGACTAGGGGTGTATAGGTGAGAAGAGAGAGGAGGCATTAAGACAACTAACCTCATTGAGCCAACTTTTGATTTCTCTTAATTCCTCGATAGTGGTGTGTGTGAATGCCACTGCCTTGATCCGCCTCCTTGCTTCATCAATTTCCCTTAGCTACAAAGAAAATGTGCATTATAAATATCTTTTACCAATGCACTGGTTTTTTACTACAGTCGTTCTCAACTTGCACGAAATCGTGTTAATTTGCTAGTCTTTCCCGCAGCCGTTCTTAGTGTCGTCACGCAACGCTCACTCCCTTAACGGGGTAGACTAGCAATTTGCCATACCAGCTGAGGTGAACACGGCGCGCGAAGCATGAGTGGACAAAATGATCAGCCCTAAGCATGAAAGAACGAAGCAAGCATGACTGTAAAGTGAAAGTGTTTCTCCTTTCCATTCTGCTTGCTGTAGGCACGTTTATTATATTTTAGTCAAAAGAAAGCAGAAAAATAGACAGGGGTTGGTAACGTTACCTGACATATAGGGGCGCCTAACATATAGGGGCGCCTGACATATAGGGGCGCCTGACATATAGGGGCGATGGGGAGGGGAGGGGTGGTCTAAGAACTACGTTACCTTACATATAAGGGCGCCTGACATATAGGGGCGATGGGGAGGGGAGGGGTGGTCTAAGAACTACATTACCTTACTTATAGCGGCGCCTGACATATAGGGGCGATGGGGAGGGGAGGGTGGTCTAAGAACTACGTTACCATTTATCCATCCATCCATTCGTTTATTTCTTATTCATTCATTCATTCGTCCGTACGTCCATCCGTCCGTCCGTCCGTTTGTTTGCTTGTTTATTTGTTTGCTTGTTTGCTTATTTATTTGTTTATTTGTTTATTGATTTATTCCTTCCTTCCTTCCTTTATTTATTTACTTGTGAGTCTCAAATGTGCGAGAAAATGCAAGGGTAACCATAGCAACAAGCGAGGATTATTTTTAGCGCCTCTTCGGTGCGCCTTTGCATCCAGGTAAAACTTACAACGGCACAACCGGTACCTTTGTAGGATGGTTCACTTTTTTCCACAATGAACCAGAAAAGGTAAGAAAGAAATGATGTGATGTTTTTAGGTAAAAGGACAATGAAACTTAAAGTAATATTGAGCATAACGTCTAAAATCTTTTTTTTTTTTAAATATTGACTTTGAGCTGTTTGACCTTGACTTTGACATTGGCATTGATTTTGAACTTTGACTATTCCTTTCTAACCCCATAACTGGAAAATTGTTTAGAAAACAAAGACAACTCTGAATATTTAATTTTCTTATTTGCTTATTTGTTATTATAAAAAGAAACTTCTTTATTTTTAATTGCTGCATGCATGAAAGATAGCCGGCAAAAAAAACATTTTCTCAAGCTTACATGTTCAAACTTAGAAAGTCATTTTGTTTATGTATGTTATCAATTCAATTCAATTTAATGTATAATTCAATTCAAGGTTGGTGCCTACGAATTACGAACCATTTTTATTCACTTTCAATTGTGTCAGTATTAAAACACACTAGAGGCCTGACTGGAATCTGGAAAAACGGGGGATCCCCGTGCATCTGAGTGCGATATTTAACGATATAAAACACCAATGATGTAAGCTTCTTTCTTGGTTGAAGTAAAAAAACCGTATTGCAAACTCGCTGTTGTGACCGATTTGATCTGAAACTTGTTTAAAATTTCAACTAGTTGTATTCTTTCTAATATATGTATAAAATTTTATATATCTTCTCATGAATCATTTTAAACCAAATTTTGCCTTAAAAATGTAAAATGTTGTCCTAAACGGATACTGAATTTTTGCTGAAATAAGTATTCTCGACCAATTCTATTTTAAAATTCCGTAACAACAATTTAATTTATATTACCCTAGGTTGCAGAGGGATTTCTAAGTCAGTGAATCCGAGGGAAAAAATCCCTCTGGAACCCAGGGTAAATTTATGTGGGAACCCACGATCTCGACTGCAATTCGGAATTTATAGGTACGAGTGATATTTCAAAAGTTTTCAAAATTGGACGAGCTTTTAGGCGATTTCAATTTGAGAACTCTCAAAACATCACGAGTATCTATAATTTCCGAATTGTTTTGATCACTGAAAACGTCGCGTGTTAGTGTTTTTATGGTAATGTATACTCTTATCGAATATTGAATGGCGTCAGCATATGATCGATTTGCTAAAGTCACCAAAGACGTAGAAAGCTGAGATCAGTGAGAATAATGGGGAACTTTTCATTTCAAACAAAACACATTTATATTTATACTACAGTTCTCGAGACGGGTGATACCACCCCTTCCCATCGCCCCTATATGTCAGGCGCCCCTATAGGTAAGGTAACGTAGTTCTTAGACCACCCCTCCCCTCCCCATCGCCCCTATATGTCAGGCGCCCTTATATGTAAGGTAACGTAGTTCTTAGACCACCCCTCCCCTCCCCATCGCCCCTATATGTCAGGCGCCCCTATATGTAAGGCGCCCCTATATGTCAGGTAA